AGAGGGAGGGAGGGACGGAGGGGGAGACGTTACAGTCGGTATGATTAATATGACTGGTGTTCCAGGCGTCCGCCCGATCGTTTACCTTTCCTGTGACAGACCAGAGACTCTATACTGATGTGAAGTTTCCTCAGCTGAATGTCCAGGTTCTCAAAATGCTGCTGCTTCTCCTCAAACCACTAAAAAACAGAAACAAGGTATTTTTATGAAAAACTTCGAATCCGTCTGTGAGAGTCGCGTTTCCCTCAAACACATTAAGGGGGTCACATCTGGGGTCATTCCTTCTTTAATCTGAACTTTTAATCTCTCAACAACCTGTGAGGATAAAACCATATATTGTATTATTCTTTCCTCCCTCCCTCTATCCACTCACAGAATCCGACTCATTCATCTTGATGGTCATCTTGTTCACAGCGTCCGCAGCCTTGTTGACCATTCGGAGGAGTCCGGCGCTGCTCAGAGCCTGAGTGTTGACGGCACGAGGCAACTGGAAAAAAAAAAAGTTCATCCACTTGAACGTCGCCTATAAAACCACTTCATGAATGTTATAGTTGTAGTGTCGCATGTAGTGTCATATTTGGCACATGTTGCACTTTTCTCACCCATGGTATTTATAAATAAATATGTTATATATGTGTATATATACACACATATAAATATACACATGTATGAAAATATATATGAAAATATAGGTAAATATATATGAAAATATATATGAAAATATATGTATTTCAGAAATACATATATTCATATATATATTTCTGAAATATTTACAATTATTGCATATGTGTGTGTCTGTCATACTTTATTGTAGCATATATTTACACAGTTGGCACACACCTCTCTCCACCCATGTTATCTAGACATAATATATATGTGTATTTATATCAATTTATGTACATAAATGTATATACAAATATATTATATAGGCATATATTTGTATATATAATATATATTTCTGAAATATTTGTGTCTCTCTCTATTGTATATATTTTATATACAT